CGGCGGCAGCGACGTCTCGGCGGCCGGGACGACGACGCCGACGACGGCGACGACGACCGCGACGACCGCGAGGAGGACGACGACGACGGCGACGACGACCACGGCGACCGCGACGATGACGACCACGACGGCGACAACGACGACGACGACGATTGGACAACAGGCCCATGATGTATGCCGTGGAATCTGCTTGTGGACCAGGCCCGCCGTGGCTGGGAGAAGGCACTTCGTTCCTCGTGGTGCGTTCCTTGTGGCAGCACGCGTGCTGTGTGGGGTGAAGCAGGACGGAGGTCCTTCGCCGTTCCCGGCCTCGGGGGGCCCTCGCCGGGCCCCGGGGCCGAGCGACCAGTCCTCAGGAAGGGGTCGAGACTGCCGGGGCCCCGTATCGAGAAGATCGGTTGAAGAAGAAGACGCCATAAACAGAAGCTTTTGGGCGCTCCGCGCGGATTTCTTGGATCCGCGCTGGGCCCCACCGGCGGCGCCTCCTGCGCCGCCCCTGGCGCGCTCCGCGCGCCCTGGAGGGGGCTCCAGCGCAGATCCAAGAAATCCGCGCGGAGCGCCAAAAGTTTTTTGTCGATGGCGTTTCTTCTTCTTCTTCTTCTTCAAATCAAGGCGTCGGACCTGTGTCACCAGCATCATTCATCTTCGTCGTTCTCCTCGTCGCCCTCCTTGTCCCCTTCCCCTGGCCCTCTCCTCCGCCGCCCTCCCCCTCTCCTCCCCCTCCCCTCCCCTCTCTTCTCTTCTCTCGTCCTCCTCCATGTCCTCCTCGTCGTCGTTGTCCTCCTCCTCCTCCTCTTCGTCTCCCTCCACGTTCTCCTCTAAGTCCTCCTCCCCCTCGTCCTTCTCCTCCTTCCCTTCCTCTTCCTCCTTCCCTTCCTCTTCCTCTTTCCTCCTGATTCTTCACTTCCTCCTCCTCCTCTTCCTCCTCCTCCTCTTCCTCCTCCTCCTCTGCCTTCATCTTCGCACCGCCGAGCCGCTCCACAAAATGACCAAACAACCAAGCATACCTTCTCCTGCTTCTCCTCCTCCTACTCCTGCTCCTGCTCCTCCTCCTTCTTCTCATGACGAAATGTGATCTAGCCCTTCTCTCTCCATATTGAGGTATTATGATTTGACGATCTATAACAAGTGTGCTCCCACTGCAGCGTTGGCCGCATGTCAGGATCGGTGCTTTGGTCCAGCCTTTCACGTTTTCTCTCTCTCTCTCTCCAGCGCGGGGCCTCATTTCTGGATCTGACTTGTTCCTTGTCGTTGTCGTCCCCCTCCTTTCATCATTCTGCTCATCCTCCTTCTCCTTCTCCTTCTCCTTCTCCTCTTCGTCCCCTTTTCTGATTGCGCATCACGCGATGGTGCCATTTTGAGGGTCAAGGTCGTCTAGCCGGCGGATAGAAATAATTCAGCGCAAGGGAAAGGACGTCGGACGGGGCCAGGATGGGGGTAAAGCCCTTCCAGAGCGCTCCGGAACCCCCTCAGAGCGTTCCAGAACGCTCCGAGAAGGCCGCGGCCCTTGAGGCATCCTCCAGAGCCGCCGGAGCTCAGAGATTCACTATCTTCCCTCCGAATTTATCGTCGTCCTCCAGTTTTCCAGGAATTTATCGTCGTCCTCCGAATTTATCGTCGTCCTCCGAATTTATCGTCGTCCTCCGAACTGCTCGAGGATCAGTGCTCCAGTTTTCTGGGCGCTCTTCGTTCTTCTAGCCCACCCCCAGCTGCCCGCAGCAGTTCCAGAGGCGGGCTTTTGATCCCGCTTCGAGCTGGAGAAGATCTCGCGACGGTACTGCTCGGAGAAGACCTTCAAGGCGTCTAACAGTGGATCGTGGATCGGTGGTTCAAACCGGTGGCCACATGCGAAACTAACCTTCCACCTCACGATTTCCAAGAGGGGGGGGTGGGGTTTGCTTCGCTCGGGAGGTCCCGAACGAAGTGAACCCCGCCTCTCCCCTTAGAAAACGCGGGGTGACGCGGTAGGTTTCGCATGTGGCCTCATATCAAGGATGGGGCCCTGAAGGATGGGGTCTCAGGATAAGAAGGGATCCAAAGGTGGATCTGCCTTGTTCGAGGCACGTCGTCCTCGGTCATCGAGCGCGTTCCGCTACTTGCAAAGTGCCAACTCGCAAACGTCCGAAACAAAACATGTCTTCCTGTTTGTAACTGAAAGAGCGTGTTCTACCGCTGCTGGCGCAAAACCGAGTGGGGGTCACTGGGGGTTCCTAACCCGTCCCCCCCCCCCCCTCGAAAACCGCGGGGGGGTCACTACCAGTTCGAACACCCCCCCCCCCTCGAAAACTGGGGGGGGTCACTACCGGTTCGAAGCCCCCCCCCACCCCCCAGTCCATCATGAAAATGGGGGGGGTCACTACCGGTTCGAGCCCCCTCCCCCCCCCTCGAACACTGGGGGGAGTCACCGGTTCGAACCCCTCCCCCCCCCTCGAAAACCGGGGGGGTCACTATCGGTTCGAGACTGGAGATGTTGGGACAGTGGTGGGAACGGTGGTGGTAGGGACAGTGGTGCGGGGACAGTGGGACAGTGGTGCGGACAGTGGTGGGGACGGTGGTGGTGGGGACTGGTGAGGGGACAGCGGGACAGTGGTGGGGACAGTGGGACAGTGGTGGGGACGGTAGTGGTGGGGACAGTGGTGAAGGCGGTGGTGAGGAAAGTGGTGGGACAGTAGTACAGTGGGGGCACTGGTGGGGACAGTGGGGACAGTGGGACAGTGATGGGGACAATGGGGACGGTGGGACAGCACAGTGGGACAGCGGCGGGGACAGTGACAGTGGTGGGAACAGTGGGGACAGCGGGGCAGTGGTGGGAACCGTGGGGAAAGTGGGGAGAGTGGGATTGTGGTGGGACAATGGCGGGGAGAGTGGGGACAGTGAGACACTGGTGGGGGCACTGGTGGGGACAGCGGGGACAATGGTGGGAACAGTGGGGACAGTGGGACAGTGGTGGGGACAGTGCTGTGGGGACAGTGCTGTGGGGACAGTGCGAATGTGGTGGAAACAGTGGGACAGTGGAGGGTACAGTGGTGGTGGCGACAGTGATGAGGGCGGTGGCGAGGACGGCGGTGGGATAACGGGACAGAGGTACAGTAGGGACAGTGGTGGGGACAGTGGGGACAGTGGTGGGAACAGTGGGACAGCTCAGTGGGACAGCGGCGGGGACAGTGGGACAGTGGGGACAGTTGGACAGTGGTTGGGGCTGTGGAGAGAGTGGGGAGTGGAACCGTGGTGGGAACAGTGGTGGGGACAGTGGGGACAGTGCGACAGTGGTTGGGGCGCTGGTGAGGACAGTGGTGATGGTGGTGGGAACAGTGGGGACAGTGGTGGTGAGGACCGTGGTGCTGGGGACAGCAGTGGGGGATGTGGTGCGGACAGTGGTAGGGACCCAGAGTTGTTTGCTGGCGGTGAGCGTGGGGGGTGGGGGGGAGGGGTTCGAACCGGTAGTGACCCCCCCGGTTTTCGAGGGGGGGGGGTTGAACCGGTAGTGACCCCCCCCCGGTTTTCGAGGGGGGGGGGTGGGGGGGGGGTCGAACCGGTAGTGACCCCCCCCGGTTTTCGAGGAGGGGGGGGGTTCGAACCGGTAGTGACCCGCCCCGGTTTTCCGGAAGGGGGGGGTTCGATCCAGTAGTGACCCCTCTCTGGTTTTCTGGGGGGGGAGGGGATCGATAGTGACCCCCGTCAGTTTTCCGGAAGGGGGGGGGGGTCGAACTGGTAGTGACCCCCTCCCAGTTTTCCAGAGGGGGGGGGGTTAGGGGAGGGGGGGGGTTGCTGGGGAAAAGGGAGGGGGGGGGATTTTCGGAGGGGAGGGGGGACCCCCCGGGTTCCGGAGGAAGAGGGGGGGGAATTTTCCACAGTAAAGCGGCGGTGGATCACGCTCTCTCTTGTAACTGAAAACATGTCTTCCTATATGTAATGTTGATATCCGCCCAGCCAGCCCGGGGGCCGCAGGCCTCCCGGCAGCAGCTTGGAGCACCTGCGAAGCCTTAGGCCTCTCAGATGGGGTCCGAGGATTGGCCGGTCGTGGACAGTAGGTGATTTTGGAGATCCAGATCCCAATCTCGTCTGGGCGCGTTCCTCTTTCAAGATAGGAGTGGTTGTCCCTCTACCCTCCTCTTCAGGGGGCGGGCGGATGCCCAATCTACTTCGAATGCTGTCCAACCTCGTGGTTTTTACACATTTCTTCCGACCGGCGGGTAACCTACCAACGCAATGAAGACGTAACTTAATTCGGCCCCCGTCTCTGCATTAGGGATGCTACGTTTGGGCGGTCTGGTTTGATACATCTGCAGGGGAGGCTCCCTATCCCTAATGTTTCGAATCTCTTAAATATAGAGTAGCCCTCAAAAGGGTTAGGGGTTCTGCTGTTCCTAATCATATATGGGGTCGGGGGATCGCCCGTCATCGCCGATGCATCGGCGATGCGGCTCGATGCGGAGTCCGATTTTGTCCACGCCGACGTCGCCGATGCATCGCCGTTGTCGCCGATGCATCGCCGACGTTGCCGACGCATCGGCGATGTATCGGGGATGTGGCGCTATCCTCCGACCCCATCGACTCGGACCCCGCCTTGGAGGCCCCTTGAAACCCTCCCCAAGACCTCCTGGGTAAATCTTCGTCGTCCGTCCGTCGCCGCCGCCGCCGTCGGTGTTGCCGCCACCGCCGCTGCCGCCGCCGCCGTCGGTCGTCGTTGGTCTTTCCCGCCGCCTGTCGGCCGTTGATCGTCGTCGTCGGTCGTGGGGCGTCGCGGGTCGTCGTGGGTCGTCGGTCGTCGTTGGTCGTCGGTCGTCGGCAGTCGTTCAGCGTTCGTTGTCGTCGTCGGTCGTGAGGTTGTCGGTCGTCTGTCGTCCGGAGTCCTTAGTCCGTCGTCCGTCGTCGTCGCCGTCTTCGTCGTCGTCGTCGTCTTCGTCGTCGCCGTCGTCGTCGTCGTCGGCGACGGTGGCGGCGGCCGTCGACGGTCCTCGCTCGGCTCGCGCGCGCGCGCGCGCCCGCGCCCGCGGGAGGCGATTTCTCAGCGCGGGGCGCCGCAGGCGCAGCCACGGGCCAGAGGCGGCGCTGGCTCGAGGGCCTCTTGTTGGGGAGGGAGGCTCATTGCTCTCGGCGGCGAGCGAGGGGGGAAACCGAGAAGAAGGAGGCCTTCTCAGAAGGCGGCGTGGCTCCGCAGAGGCTCGCGCACCCTCCGGGTTTTTTTGTTGTGTCCTCGGGGGCGGCTCACGAAACCTCTCGGAAGGCCGGAGGCCCTCCGAGCCTTCTGGGAAGGCCCGCCCCTTCTCGCTGCCCCCCCGGGCTCGCCCCCGATACTCACCACCAGCTCACCCCAGACTGCCTGGAAGGTCCCAGGCCCCCCAAAGGAACCCGCAAACTTCGGGTTAGGGGGCCTGCGGGCTCCACAGCGCTTCCTCGGTGGCCCAGAACGTCCCACCACTGGAGATTGGCAGGCCCAACGGCTAGGAGGCCACACGCGAACCCTACCCCTACCCCCCACGATTTCTGAGGGGGAGGGTGGGGTTCACTTCACTCGGGAGCTCCCGAACGAAGTGAACCCCACCCTCCCCCTCAGAAATCGTGGGGGGTAGGGGTAGGGTTCACATGTGGCCCCCTAACGGCGGCTTCTGGTTGGGTTGGGGTGGCTTGGTGGGCAGTCAAGCGGTGGCACGTGGGAGCAACTGAGCTCGGCCAGGAAAAGCTCGGCCCGGCTGAACTCGGCCAGATGAAATTGGCCAGGACAGAATCGGGTGACTGATTTCGGTCAGCCTGAACTCGGCCAAGCTGAATTCGGACCGTTCGAGTTCAGCCTGACCAAGTTCAGCTGGCCGAGTTTAGCCTCGCTGATTTTCGCCTGGCCGAGTCTCCCCCTTTCATGGCAAAAAGGGGCCCAGGCTTCGACGATCGGATTGTGAAGGCCTTACGGCCAGTGCCGCCGACCCTGAAGGTTTTGGCCGTCGATGGCGCGACGGGATGTGTGATCACAGGAAGGAGCTAAAGGACAACGTGACAGGGTAGGCGGAGGACGTGTGTGAGGAGGAGAAGGAGGAGGAGGAGGAGGAGGAGGAGGAGGAGGAGGAGGAGGAGGAGGAGGAGGAGGGGGAGGGGGAGGAGGAGGAGGGGAGAGGAGGAGGAGGAGGAGGAGGGAGGAGGAGGGAGGAGGAGGAGGGAGGCGGAGGAGGAGGAGGAGGAGGAGGTAAAAAGGGACCCAGGCTCTGACGGTCGGATTTTTTCAATCGGGGCGCTCTTCCTCGACCCCGTCCTCCGGGGCCCGTTCCCGGGCCCCGGGGCCATCACAGATCAGGAGGGGGAAAAACGCAGACACAATTCATCGTCGGTTCCCAGGAAAATATGGGAAAGTATGGGAAGTGGTGGGGGGAAGACAAAAACACCGAAAATATGGGAATATAGATGGGGGATCCTGTTGTTTGTGTGTATGTATTGCTAAGGCCTTACGGCCAGTGCCGCCGACCCTGGATACCTCGGCCCTCGAGGGTGACGGGATGCGTGATAAGACGTCGGAGGTAAATGAAGACGTGGCGGAGGAGGAGGCGGAGGAGGAGGAGGAGGAGGAGGAGGAGGAGGAGGAGGAGGAGGAGGTGGGAGGTGGGAGGTGGGAGGTGGGAGGGGAGGAGGAGGAGGAGGAGGAGGAGGAGGAGGAGGAGGAGGAGGAGGAGGAGGAGGAGGAGGAGGAGGAGGAGGAGGAGGAGGATGAGGAGGAGGAGGAGGAGGAGGAGGGTGAGGGTGAGAGGGAGGGAGAGGGTCGCCCGGGGGGGATGCGTATCTGCCCCCCCCCCCCTTTCCCCCCCCACCCCCCTGGTGGGGAGGGTAGGGAGGGGCTTCGCCACGACTACGATTTTCTTCTGTTTCGTGTTCGATTTCCTTTTATTTCGGTCGTCGACGATGACGACGACGACGTTGACGACGACGACGACGACGCTGACGACGACGACGACGACGACGACGGCGACGACGACGACGACGACGACGACGACGACAACGGTGATCCACGCAAGACGACGACACCGGGATGCGTCTTCCGCACGCCGACAGGGTCGGCGGATTTTGTGTGTCACAGGGCCCCTTTTAAAAGGGCATTCTGGGTGAGAATCGATTTCCAGTGAATCGGTCGGGGGCAACGTTTTGGGGGATATGCTCTGGAGGGCAACGTCACGGGGTCGTGGTTCGAGGTTTCGGGGGTTCAGGTTTGACTTTTCCGCGCGGCTTCGTCGGTTCTCGGCAGCTTTCTAGCGCCTCGGGGTGCGTTCCACTGGCTGCGCCTCGCCGCGGGCGTTTGGGGGAGCTCGGATCGTTCCGATCGGCCGCTGGGGAGCCGAGTTATGATTTGAACGCCAGGGTCAACGACATGGGAGGATAGGCTCAGGGGGGATGCATTGACCCCCAATCGCCCACTGATCGCCGATGGGGGCCTGACAGCCCACTCCGCCCAGGAACGTGCTGTTTCGCAATCCAGGGCCTATCGCCGATCTGTCGGCGAAGTATCGCCGATTCGAGCTCGATGTTCCCCCCCTGGGCCTCTCCCCTCCTAGCGTTGCACTTCATCCTTAGGGTGGAAATAGGAGGGGGAGGATAGGGAGGAGGAGGAGGAGGAGGAGGAGAAAGAGGAGGAGGAGGAGGAGGAGGAGGAGGAGGAGGAGGAGGAGGAGGAGGAGTGAGGCGGAGGAGGAGGAGGAGGAGGAGGAGGAGGACCAGTGGAAACCCAATAATCATCAACGATGTTGGCATTAACCCTCCCCCAAAACTCCCTCTTCAGAGGCCCCTACAACGGTTCATTTTCATTGAGGGAACAGCCTCGTTGGAAGACAACAGTTTGAAGATCCTGAAGCGTGCCCGGACATTGTTCTCGGGAGTTCAATGCCACGTATCAACCTGTCTGCTGCGTCTTGACGATCCGGAATCGTGCCATACTCCGTTTTGGGGGGTTCGACACAGCACATTAACATAACTGTTGCGCCCGCATAATCTTGAATTCTTCCAATACGCAATTTCTGATATGTTGATCATGAGAACCCGTGCAATTCTTGCATGTATTACAAACGAACGAGCGCGGCGCTATGGCGAGGGCCACATTTTGAAAAGGAACCGCCCTCAATCCCTGAACCTCCTGCAAATGTTTAAAACGAATGTGCGCGTAGTTAAGGCGAGGGCCACATTTTGAAAACCTCTCGCCCTCAATCCGTGAAACTCTTGCAAACCTTCAAAACGAATGTGCGCGGCGCTAAGGCGAGAGCCACATTTTGAAAACCATCCGCCCTCAATCCGTGAAGCGCTTGCATTTTTTCCCAACATGTTTCGTCGGGTTCTGGTTTTCTTCCCTGCCGCGTCGCGCCCGCGAAGCTCACCTCCCCTACTCCTCCTCCTCCTCCTCCTCCTCCTCCTCCTCCTCCTCCTCCTCCTCCTCCTCCTCCTTCTCCTTCTCACACAGCCCAGCGCACCACAGCGCAGCAGAGCACAGCACCGCACAGCACAGCTCAGCACAGCACAGCACACAGCACATTGACACACAGCACGTACACAGCACAGCGCAGCACAGCTTTGCTCAGCACAGCTCAGCTCAACTCAGCACAGCACAGCACAGCACCCCTGGACACCATAGGGTGTGCGCAGCAGGTGGTCAATAAGTGCGGCCGCCATCCACGACACTGTCGCAAAGCCTCGCAGGCGTGGCACTTTCTGGACACCATAAGGGGTCCGCAGGGGGTGGTCTCTCAGCGCGGCCGCTATCCACGACACTGCCGCACAGCCTAGCAGGCGTGGCAGCTTCTGGACATTATGAGGGGGTGCGCAGGGGGTGGTCACCGAGCGCGGCGGCTATTCACGACACTGTCGCAAAACCTAGCAGGCGTGGCACCTTCTGGACACCATAGGGGGTGCGTAAGAGGTGGGTGGTCTCTCAGCGCGGCCGCTATCCACGACACTGTCGCAACGCCTAGCAGGTGTGGCACTTCCTTGACACCATAAGGGGTGCGCAGGGGGTGGTCTCTCAGCGCGGCCGCTATCCACGACACTGCCGCAAAGCCTAGCAGGCGTGACACTTCCTCGACGTCACAGGGGCTATCCGTTTCGGGCTCACAACGTGTGGCAGGCGTGGCACTTTCTCGGTGCCACAGGGTGTGCGCTGGGGGTGCGGTCGCTATACGTTTCAGCTTCGCAATGCGTGGCAGGCGTGACTCTTCCTCGACGCCACAGGGGTGCGCTGGGGGTGCGGTCGCTAGCCGTTTCGGGCTCGCAACGTGTGGCAGGCGTCACACTTTCTCGATGCCATAGGGGGTGCGCTGGGGGTGCGGTCGCTATCCGTTTCGGCCTCGCAAGGCGTGGCAGGCGTAGCACTTCCTCGACGCCACAAGGGGGTGCGCTGGGGGTGCGGTCGCTAGCCGTTTCGGGCTCTCAACGTGTGGCAGGCGTCGCACTTTCTCGACGCCGAAAGGAGTGTGCTGGGGGTGCGGTCGCCATCCGTTTCGGGCCCGCAAAGCGTGGCAGGCGTGGCACTTTCTCGACGCCACAGGGAGTGCACTGGTGTGGCTGGCGTTGCACTTCCTCGACGCCGCAGGGGATGCCTTGGGGGTGCGGTCGCTATCCGTTTCGGGCTCGCAAAGTGTGGCCTTTCCACCTCTCCTTTTGACTGGCGTCACCAACGGTATCGGCGAGGCAACGACCACCAGCATCATTATCACATACTTCACTTCAGCTATCATAACTCCAGCCATATAGAAATATGTGGTTTTCTCGTTAGCGTAATGAAAACGAAAGTGCGCGGCGCTAAGGCGAGAACCACATTTTGAACACGTCCCGCCCTCAATTCGTGAAGCTCTTGTATTTTTGAACGACTGTGCTCGGCGCTAAAGCGAGAGCCGCATTTCGAACACGACCCGCCCTCAATTCGTGCAGCTTTTTGCACATGTTTACAAATAATGCGCGCAGCGATTAGGCGAGAACCGCATTTTGAAAACCACCCGATCCGTGAAGCCCTTGCGAACTTTTTAAGACGAATGTGCGCGGCACCAAGGCGAGAGCCACATTTTGAAAACCACCCGCCCTCAATC